CCACAGCATCCTTGGTACCACCACAGCATCCCTGGTACCACCACAGCATCCCTGGTACTGCCACAGCATCCTTGGCATGGCCACAGCATCCTCAGCGTGGCCACAGCATCCTTGGTACCACCACAGCATCCCTGGTACCACCACAGCATCCCTGGTACCACCGCAGCATCCTTGGCACTGCCACAGCACCCTCAGCCTGATGATGAACACGCAGCCCTGCTGCTGCCTCAGCTCCAGCTCTCTTTCCCCAGAAACGTGCAGGGATTCAGGGAATGGCACCAGGTTTCCCTTCACACACTACCCCCCCCATCCATGTATTTATTCCCTATGTCACAAAACACCGGGATTCTCGGAGCAAACAACCGCGACGCCGCACCCGAGCCCCCTCCTCCCCCGCCGTGGGAACACGTTCCCGAGCTCCCGGGGGTGGGAGCAGCCCTTACCGCCGCCACGCACCGTCCTTGCGGGAAACAACCACCACCGCCAGCGCCGGGAAGTTCTCCGGCGAGCCAGCCCCGGCTCCCCCCGCGGCTGGGACGGAGCCCCCGGGGCACCGGCCGAGCCCCCGGGAGAGGCGTCATGGCCGTAGCATCCCCCGGACACGCAGCACAGGGCAGGGAGAAGCACAACCGGCAGGAAAACCGGCTCCCTGTTGCGTTTGGATCGCGGCTGCGGCGCAGGAACCCCGGCGAGGCTCGGTCCTCCCCGCTCATGGCACCCCCCCCCCCAAAAAAAAAGAAGAGGAGATGGGGGCATCTTACCGCCCTGCGCCCGGAGGAGGCTCAGCTCAGCTTCCCAGCCCCATCCCGGCCGGACACGGACGGTGCCAGGGCTGGGGAATCTTTCCAGGGTTCTGGAGAGCCGGGGCTGTGCTGGCGCCGCTTCAGCATCTCCCTCAGCATCTCCATGGTTACACGGCTGACCCAGTTCTCCTGCCAGCCCCGAGCAGGGGCACAGTGGTCCAGCGCGGTGGGACGTGCCCTGGCGGGGCTGGGGGCATCCCCGTGCCAGGTTTTGGGTGTCTGATGGTCCCACTGAATCCCTGAAGGCAGATGTCGTGGAGCTGCTGGGGATGGCCAGGCTGGGAGAAGTGGGGATGGAGGCAGCACAGGGCAGGGGGGGTCAGAGGTGACCCCCAGGAGCAGATGGATCCCGGTGATCCGACAGTGCCAGGTGTGGAAAGGAACAACCCGGGGCTGTGAGGGAGACCTGGCCCCAAATATTCCACGGGAATAGAAACGAGGGGCAAAATATCGATGGGGAAAATTGGTGCTTTGGAAAAGGCTCTGGAGAAGGAGGGAGGAGCCCAGCAGGTGCCCCCACACAGGTGGAAAAGGGGAGAGGAGGAGAGAGGAGGAGGAGGAGGAAGGTGATAAATGAGCACAGTGGGGGTGGCTGGGATGCTGCCTTGCCAGGGAAGGAGGCAGAGGGATTTTGGGGGCTGTCTCCTCCCTTGGGGTGGGTGTCCCCAGGGAGATTCGGGGTTGGAAACCCCTGGCAGTGGGGCAGCAGGTTCTTCTTTGCCCCCCAGACCCCTGTGCTGGGGCTGCCTCAAGCCTGGAGGGAGAGCACTGAAAAGTGCTGATGACTGGAGCAGGTAGGTCCTAAAATCAGCGTTTTTAGGGGAAAAAAATTCTTGCTAGAGCTTCCACTTTGAGGCCCTGCCAGTCCTGAGCAGGCACAACACACCAGGGCAAGCCCCAGCAGCACAGCTCACATGGACATGCTCCTGCTTGTATTTGGGAATAAGGCAAGGGCTTATTTCCCCAAAAAGTACTTAATTCTAATTAATTGCTTCAGCTCTGATAGGCAGTTGCTCGTATAAATTTAATTGCCCAACAAGGGGTATAATTGGGTGCACGTGAGCTGAGAACCTGGAAGGAACTCCAGGTACTGGAATTAAGCATCTCACGGCTCAGGCAGGATATAAAAGTTATATCCTGGCTGGAACACCAGCTCCATGGGAAACAGAAACCTGGAAATGAAAGGATGGGTCCAAACATGCTCCAGCTGTAGGACAAGTGGAGCCTGGAGGGGAGAGGTTTGGATGGGGCTGTGCTCAGGGGCAGCTCCTGCTCCTGGAAAAGGCCTGGCTGTTGGATGAGCGGGGTTCAGTGAGTCTGTGCCTGGCAGGAAGAAGAGGAGGGAGGCCATAGGGGAAATCCCACAGCATATTCCAGTCTGGATGATTCCCCAAAAGGCAGGTGCTCGGGTGGGAGCAGGTCTGACTGCAGCAGGCAGAGGTTTTCCATCGGGATGGGAAGTGCTGGAGGTTGTAGTGTGGGTGGGGAGATGGTTTCAGGGAGATCAGCTCTGCCAGGACCCAGGCAATGCATCGCATCTCTTCTGGGATAACCGGTGGGATGGTATTCCTGGATGGAGCTGGGTCTGCTCCAGGTGCTCTCTTCCGTGCTGCTCCTGCACAGGGATGGACTGGGAACATCACTGGGACCCAGAGCCAGAGGTAACCGGAGCCACAGCCCTGCCTGGGGGTGTCCAAGGAGAAATGATCCCGGAAAACCGACTGTCCCGAGTCTTCCTCAGTGCCAGCACGTCCAGATGCGCCTCAGCCACAGTGATTTACTTCCCATCCCCATCCCCGAAGCTCGTGTCCATCTCCAGCCAGCCTGGCTGCCACAGCTCCAGCAGAAGTGACGCTCCTGGAAGATGGGATCCATCCAGGAGCACCAGGACTCAGAAACAAGTATTTCCCAGTGGGACAGGCAGGAACACGGAATCTTCCCCCACCCACCTCATGGCCATCTTTCACTGGGGGGGTGGGACAGGTGAGGAATCCAGGGCCATCCATGCCTGGTGGCCGGATTTGGGGCAGAGCCCCCTCCCGAGGCAGCAGCAGCCCTGACCACGCTGTCCTTTTTCCCCCCTGTCCCTGTGTGACGTCTCTGCTGCCCGGGCAAATCAGCTCCCTGCTGCATCCCATCGTTTCCTAGGCAACGGGAAGGAATCAGAGGAGCAAAAGCCACCCGGCAGGGCTGAGGCTGGGGGACAGCCAGGTCCTGCTGGGCCCATCTGGCCAGGAGAGCCCCGGGGGGCTTGTGGCACTGCCCTGAGCACTGGGCATCCCTGGTGGTCCGGACTCATCCCACGACAGACCAGGGTGCCAAGGCTGAGCTCGGGGCCCCTGCACTGGCTGCACCCTGGTGCTGGTGGTGGCCACCACGGGCGGCTCAGGACAGAGCAGAGGCATGCACGAGCCAGTGTGTGGCCACCCCCAGCAGCCACGTGGCCCCAAAATCTGGGACAGTTCCACGGGGAGGCAACAGGGACGCGAGAAACCAGCCCAGGGTCTTCGGTGGCCCCCGGAGACGGGGTTGGGAATGGGATCACCTTGCTCAGATCCCAACCCCCCCCTCGCCTGGTGCTCGGGCACCGAGGGCTGGCACTGCCTGGTTGGGGCCGGGGCCGATCTCCTCCGGCAGGGAGGGGATGTGGGAAGGAGGGGATGTGGAAAGGAGGGGATGTGGGAAGGAGCTTTTCCCGTTACCCAGCTGCCGCTGCCTTTCCGGCTGCACGGCTCCCAGCTCTGCAATGCAGCTCACACAGCTCGTCTGCTGTGTGTGAATCCCATCAATATTTCATGGAGCTGCTTCCTCCAGGGGAAGGAACTGCTATCAGCCCTGGCTTTCTGCTGCTCCTACCAGCGCTCCGCTCCTCGCACACAACATCTGATTTCCTTCCCTCGGTGGCCAGCACCCAGCAGCCCCCCCTTCCCTCCCTGTTCTGCACTGGCAAATATTCCTCTGCCTTCCAGGGGCTTCATATCCCATGGGGGCCAAGAGCTCTGGAGTCCCCTCAGGTTCAAATCCAAGCGCTGACCAGATTCCACCCCTCGTGCCCGCTCACTGCAGCAGTGCCCAACGTGTCCCCAGGGCCAAACCAGCAGCTCCAGGATGGGTGACCAAACCCACCCACACCCTCCATTGCCCCCCTGATTCCATATCCAGCAGCAGGACCTGCCAACAGCCCAGACCCTGCCTGCCTGGATCCGATTTTCCCTGCCCAGCCGCATCCAGCCCGCAGGTCCCAGCTCGCTCCCGAGCCCAGCAGGAGCTGGCGGGGGGGGGAGCAGGTTTGTTTGCAGAAAAAGTTGCTTTTTTAAATGCTAAGGCTGCACTATTATTCCAAAGCTTCTTCGGGGATCAGCAGAAAACTTGCTTGCCACAGGAAGAGTTCCGAGAGCCGGAGCGGTGCCAGGAGGCAGCGGGAGCCTGCGGCAAACACCCATCGCTCGCTCTGCCACCTCTGCAGCCCACCTGGCACGAGGAGCTGGGGCAGAACCCCTGGGGTGCCAGCAGCACCTGTATCCCTGGAGGACGATGGAGCTGATCCCAGAGAGGTGCCACACATGCCACAGCTGGGGAGGAGGGTGATGCACGACGTGCCCGAAGATGAGGCCGAAAGCTCTTGTGTTGCTCCACCACCCAACAACCAAAATCGGTGCAATTCCCTTATTTTCAGGCTGAGACCTCCAGCTCCAGGAGCCCCTTTTTCTGTGGGAAGGATGAGGAGCCTGGAGGGGCTCCCACCACCACCCAGCACAGCATCCCGGGGCAGGAAAGGAGCCCCTCAGGTAGCGAACTCGGAGTGTCAGCAGGGCTGTCAATTGGAGCCAAATCACCTCACAATAATTCCTTAACAAGGCTGTTTTCCTGCTCTTTGAGGAGCTGTGACAAAACATTTTCAGCTCGTTGACAGGGATGCAAGGAGCTGGTGCCGCACGCCTTGGGTTTTAATAAGCAGGAAAATTAGGGATTTTCATCACCTTAAACTGCATCTTGTATCCATGTGATGCTTCCCGGAGGGCTGTGCTGCAGCCAGAGCCCACGGAGCTCGAGGGGGTGGATGGGTGTGTGTGTGTGTGGGGGGAAGCTGGAGGGGATTTTCCCCCTGAATTGGGGTGAAAGGGGCCAAGCAAGGGTCAGACCAAGACGCCACAATCTCATCCTCTGTCCCTGCCCCACAAAGGCTGTGCTGCGAGGACGGGGCTGGAATGGGGACGAAGAAGCGAGAACTCAGAGTGCTGGGCCGTGGGAGGTGGCAGGAGTTTGCCCTCACGAAAGGATGCTGGAGAAGGTACAGGGGGAGAGAAGTGCGAGCACAGCAGGAGTGGCTCCGGGGAGGTGTTGGTGCAGAGAGAAACGGGCACACGCCAAACTGGGGCTGGAGGTGAAGGTGCAGCCACTCGGCCACCAGGGAAGGGGTTGGGGACGGGCTGGGCAGGTGGTCCCACATCCCTTGGCAGAGGGAGGACCCCTGGGGCTGCTGTGCCTGGCAGCAAAGCCTGGCTTTGGCCTGCAAGCCAAGCCCAGCCCTGCGCCCCCGGCTCGGGGGGATCCGCAGCCTCCCACTCTCAGCGCACTGCTGGAATGAGCAGCACAGCCCGTGGGATGCTCCCCGGGCACCAAGGGATGGGATTCAGCCTCGGGAGCCCTCCTGCCGTGCTTCCCAGACCCCCAGGAGTGGGCACTGACCAGCACAGAGCCCATCACAGCCACCACCTCCCGTGGGGACCCCTGAGCTCCCACGCGGTGGCCCCGGGGACCGTTTTGAGACGCAGAGCAGAAGGGGGACATGGTGGGGACACAGTGGGGACATGGTGGCTGCCAGGCCCGTGCCCGTTGGGGTGCCAGGGGATGAGTGATGCCCACACTTCCCTCAGGCTTCTCCCCACTCAGTGTCACCCCGGTCAGAGCAAGAGGGAGCAGCGCAGAGGGGTCTCTGCCCATCCCGCGGCACCGTTTCACTCTCCCTCACCAGCTCCTTCACACATTTCCCTACAGAACCGACCAGGGCACCTGCCCCAAACCCCCCGGAGGGCGGAACAGACTCCCAGGACGGAGCAAGAGGCAAATCAATACCCGAAGCCCAGGCTGGAGGCGCCAGGAAGCCCGGGACGAGGTGAGCCCTGGCCGCACACGAGCCGCTCGGTGCCCGGGGGCAGAGCCTCGGCAGGACTCCCTCGGCTTTCCCGGGTCCCTCTCCCCGTTTTCCCGGCCGTGGGGACCGGCGGGCACGGGACGGGCTTGACGTCAACGGGCTTTCAGCGGCGGTGATGGATGGCACGGGAAAAGCGCTCCCGTTGCCGAGCCGCCGGCCGGGAAGCGCTGCCCGCCCGCCCCGCACCGGGCAGGGCTCCGGTTCACCGGAGCTCTCCGGGTTGGGACGGAGGGAAGCGCGGCCGCAGCCCCCCCCCCGCTTTCGGCGCAGCGATGTTTTTGGGGTGTTCGCGTCCCCGCTCAGCGCCTGGGCGATGTTTCAGGGGTGCCTCGCCGGCAGCCGCGGGGTGCGGGGTGGGAAGCACCGCGTTTCTCCCCACGGCGGTCGGGACCCCTCTTCCCACCTCCTCCCCCCCCCTCCCGAAGCGCTCATCCCGCTGCTCCCCCGGCACCGCATCCGCGACGGGCATCCCCCCCACCCCGCCCCTTCCCCACCAAAAAAAACACCCCACACCCCGCTCCCGCTTCCCGGCCGCGGGCGGGGGATGCTGCGGGGCAGGTGCGGCCCCAGTGGCCGCGGGGGCCGGCGCTGCCGCGGTGCCGGGCGCCCGGAGCACCGCACCCCGCGGGCACTCACTCACCGCTGCCGCCGCCGCCGCCGCCGCCCGTGCCCGCTCCTCCCCTCGGCCCCGGCGGGCTGCTGGGAGCGGCGGGCGGGGGAGCCCCGGGCCCGGCCCCGACGGCCCCGGGCGGAGCGGAGAGGGGCCGGTACCCACGGAGGGGTCGGCCCGGTTCCCCCCCAGAAGATGCGCGGGGAGAGTTGTCGGCCGGACCCCGAAAGGCGGCGGTGGGACCCTGCATCCATCAGGTGGAGCCTGAGGGAGGATGGGAGCATCCTGCACCTGCCAGCTGGACCCCGGGAGGATCCAGCTGGACCCTGTGCCTGTAAACTGGAGTCTGCATCCATGAATTGGACCCCAGGAGCCTCCAGCTGCGCCCTACCCACATCGACTGGACTCTAGACCAATTAACTGGACTCTAGACCCTTAACTGGACCCTACACACATCAATTGGACTCTAGATGCATTAACTGGACCCTACACCCGTCAGTTGGACCCCAAGAGCCTCCAGCTGGACCCTACACCTATTAACTGGACTCTAGACCCATTAACCAGAGCTCAAGGACCACCAGCTGGATCCTTCACCCATCAAGTGAACCCCAAGAGCCAGCAGGTGGAACCTGCACCCATCAGTCAGACCCTGCACCCACCAAACAAACCCCACGAGCCTCCAGATGGACCCTGCGCCCATTGACCAAAACCCAAGAGCCTCCAACTGGACCCTACACCCATCAAAGGGATCCCAAAAACCTCCAGCTGGAC